CCGCCCGCACCGCCCGCAGCTCCCCACGCGCGCGGGCGCTCACTCTTACACTCCCGCCTCCGCCCGCCCTGTCCTCGCGGCCATTGGCTGCTCCTGCGGTCACTTTCACGCCGCAGCCCGTTCCTCTTCAGCTCATTGGAGGACGCGCCGGTGACGTCGGGCCAGAGGGCGCTAGTCGGCGGCGAAAGAGGCGCAGGGACAGACGGTGTCTGCGGGAGTGCAGGAACCGGAGTTCCAGGCGCGGAGGCCGGGCGCGGCCCGGCGGGAAGGGGCGGCCCCCAGCCTGGTCCCGGGGGGCGGGCTGCGCGGGCGGGCCCGCCTCCTGCCGTCCGCGGGCGAGGAGCCTGTCCCGGGTCTGTCTTGCGCTTCTAGCGCTGTCGGTGGCGCTCCGCGGCGGGACTGCAGCGTTCCTGCAGGAAAAGGAGCTGGATGAGAACCATCAGGACTCTTCCTGTCGGGGGAGGAGTTGTTTTAAATTTGTGTGTCTCCACGTTCTGCCTGCCTGACTTCTTCCTGTCTGGGAGGAGTTGTTTCAAATCTGTAGGTCTCCACTTTGTGCCTCTCAGAACACAAGTGAAACTGCGTTCTTCCATCCGAGGCCCTGCCGCCTATTGTTATTAATGGGTCCTCTTCCTCGGCTCAGGTCTTCATTCTCCTGATGCACGAACCCTGCTGTGGCACTTCACCTGGCCAGATCCGACATTCAGGCGTCCATTCACCAGTAGCCACTTTGCCCGAAACTTTACTCCCAACCAGCTTGCCACTCCACCCGCCAGTAACGCCCATCTCAGATCACTTTGCTGCCTCAGCAAAAAGAGAGAAACCTTTTCCGTTTTCCGCCGCCTAACACACAAACTTCCTTAAAGCACGGATTCCACCCTCCTTTCCCCGCTTTCCCCCCAGTATCACAGAGTCCAGTCTGAGATCAGTCTCTTTCTCTCTCTCTCTCTCTCTCTCTCTCTCTCTCTCTCGACTGGATCCCAATCATCAGCATTTAATCAATCCTAAGCCTTCCTCTGCCCCTCACCCCGCCCTTCCAGCTGCCACCCGGTCCCCTCTCCTACTCCGCATAACTGAAAAAAGAGCTGCCGGTCCCCACGGCCCCCCCCCCGTTCTAGTCTTTCAACTCCCCTTTCTAGTCTTCTTGGTTTCCACATTCCGCTGAGATTGCCTTTCCTGTAGTCACCCATAATCACTAAATCCAAAGGACACTCTCCTTTCTCATTTTACTTGATCTCTCAGCAAAATTCTTCCTCAAACACACTTCTTCTGGTGATAGTGGTCTGCTGCTCTGTTTTCCCCAGTCTCCTTACTTTGCTCATCTGCTGCTTGATGACTTCCAAAGGACATATTTTTAAGGTCTCAGCCCTTTCATGCCACAATTTTTCCCTGTATGATTTAATCCACTGCCAACGTTTCAATCAATAGATCTCAGATTTACAGTCCAGTCCTTATTTATCTGAGCTTCAAACCCATTTATCCAGCTTTCCCCTGGTTGTGTCACTAGCACCTGGGATGGAAGACGTCCCAGATAGAATGCATGCTTTCACTGCTTTCTCCTCCTCGGGTCTCCCTGTAATAGTGATGTTATTGCCACAGTATTTTCCAAACCCTTGGCATCTAACAAATCACCAAGGTTGTACTTGCTAAATGTCTATCAGGTCTGCCCACTTCTTTCCATTTCCACTGCCATATATAAAAATGTCATGCTGCTGTGCATGTGTCTTCCTAACCCACATTCAGTGATGTCACATTGGCAGATTGCAATTGGTCATTGCGAGGGTATTTACACCATAGAAATTGGCAAACACTATGAATCAGGGCTTAATTTGTTTTGCTGATTGTCTCTAGGCTTAAGAAAGTGATGGGTTAATAATGCAGATTAAACTTTAAAATGTGTTGTGCTTAGTGCTGAAGCTAAAAGATTTTAGTTTAATGGGTTTATTTATACAGGGTAAAAAATAGCTTAACAGATCACATATCAGATTTAGTCACAATAAATTTATTGGGAAAAGAGCAGATTGAGATCCAATCCTTCTGTGAAATCATGGTTGAATTACAAGCAGTGGTTGGATAAAGATACAAGCCTTCAGAAAAATCAACAAAGGCATAATGTGAGAATGCCTGAATGATGCTGCATGACCTGGCCCCGTGGGTCTCGTGTGCCTGTCGCCTGTGTTTCCTGAGCTCGGCCACATTGGCCTTTTATAGTCCGAGAGTGTTATGCTTCTTTCCATCTTGGGCTGTTCACATACCCTGCAGCACTTTCTCCTGTTCTTCTTGTGACACTTGGCTAGCTCCAATTCATCCTTCAGGTCCCTGCTCAAATGTCAATTTCTTAGAAAAGCCTTCCCTGAATTATCTCCCCAAACACCCTTAGGTCCCTCTTTATATGCTCTCATTGTTTTTATCACAAGTGTAACTAACTATCCATGTGATCATTGTATGAAGTCTATCCCCATCATTAGACTGTGAATTCCACGGAGGTAAGGGCCATGGCTGTCTTAAGTACTATACCGTTGCAGCTGCTGTTCCTCCCACAGAGCAGGCACTCAGCAATGTCTCTCCAAAAGGAGTACATTTCTGAAAGTCATACTGCATGTTATTGGTGATGCTGGAGTTAGAATTGGAATCTCCTGACTTAACCCAATGGAATTCTACTCCATAAATTGCTGAGCCAGCCATGATCAAAATGTTATCCTACTACGTGCCAAAGAAGAGGCAGGCTCTGTGAATATTAAGGTGAACATGGTGCTGATTCCAACTTTTACAATCTTACGGTTTATTTGTATTATTTTTTTGAAGATTTTATTTATTTATTTGACAGAGAAAGCAAGAGAGCACAAGCAGGGGGAGCAGCAGAGGGGGAGGGAGAAGCAGGTTCCCCGCTGAGCGAACAGCCTGATGCTGGGCTCGATCCCAAAATCCTGGGATCATGACCTGAGCTGAAAGCAGACGCTTAACTGACTGAGCCACCCAGGTGCTCCAATTTTATGGTTTATTAAGAAGTATGAGATGCAGGGGTGCTTGGGTGGCTCAGTCAGTTAAGCAGCCGACCAGCCAACTCTTGATTTCACCTCAGATCATGATCTCAGGTTCCTGGGATCAAGTTCCTCATCGGCCTCCACACTTACTGGGGAGTCTGCTTGAGGATTCTCTCTCTCCCTCTCCATCTGACCCTCCCCTCACTCGCACTCTCTCTCACTCTCTCTAAAATAAATCTTAAAAAAAAAGGTATGAGATGCAGGTTCATACACTGACCCCCCCAACCCTTGACTCCCAGATGGGGGGTCACCATCACACATAGAAAACAGGTTGGTCGAGTGCTTAGTATGTGGCAGGCACTGTGCTAAACCCTTTGCATGTTATTTTAAAAAATTCTCACAAAAACTCTAACAAGTGAATATCATTATCTTAATCCTATGGATGAGGAAAAAGAGGCACAGAGGTCCAGAGTCAAACAGCCAGTGCATTTCTTTTTTTCTTTTTTAGAAGCCAGTGCATTTTTCTTTTTCTTTCTTTCTTTCTTTCTTTCTTTCTTTCTTTCTTTCTTTCTTTCTTTCTTTCTTTCTTTCTTTCTTTCTTTCTTTCTGAGGAAGAATTTAGTGATTCATCAGCTACATATAACACTCAGTGCTCATTACATCAAGTGCCCTCCTTAATGCCCATCACCCATTTATCCCTTCCCTCCACTGCCCCCCTCCAGCACCCCTCAGTTTGTTTCCTAGAGTTCAGCATCTCTTATGGTTTGCCTGCCTTCCAATTTTCATCTTATTTTATTTTTCTTTCCCTTCCACTATGTTGATCTGTTTTGTTTCTTAAATTCCACATGAGTGAAATCATACGGTATTTGCCTTTCTCTGACTTATTTCACTTAGCATAATACCTAGTAGTTCCATCCATGTCATTGCAAATTTAACCAGAGCGTTTCTTAGTGGAGCCAAGACTGGGTGCACAACTGAGGGATGTAGCTGGAGATTTAAAGAACCCTTGAAATGCCTAACAAGGTTGATATTTGGGGCTGGAGAGAACTAGAACTGAGAAGACGGTAAGTATTGTCTCCCCCCCCCCATACATTTTCCCTTTCTCTTTTCTTAGTAGCAGGTGTCAAAAGTTGTCGGAGGGAGGGGTGCCTGTGTGGCTCAGTTAGTTAAGCATCTGCCTTCAGCTCAGGTCGTGATCTAGGGGTCCTGGGATCCATGCTTGGTTGGGAGTCTGCTTCTCCCTCTCCCTCTACCCCTCCCCCACCGCTTGTACACACACACACACACACTCTCTCTCTCTTTCTCTCTCTCTCTGTCTCAAATAAATAAATAAAATCTTTTTCAAAAAAAAGTTGTTGGAGGGAGATGAACCATTTGAGCCTTTTGGAGGGAAACTACTTTCCCTAAATCACAGGGGGTGGGGGCAGTTGGTGGGCTGGCAATTTAGAGTTTCTTTTGGGAGGAATGGATGTTGGAGAGGTAGCCATTAGGATGTTTTACCAGATGGCATTTGGAAGGGGATAGAGTGTCAAGGGAGAATTTTACTGTTAATACATGAAATATTTTAATTTGTTTATATGCTGAGAAGTAAGAACCAGAAGAGAGGGCAAGATTGAAGGTAAAGGAGGGAAAAAAAATGATATGGACCATGGTCTCTGAGGAGCTAAGAAGAAAATCTAATCCAGGGTACAGGTTGGAATAGATACCTTTTTCCTCTTAAGCTAAAGAATATTTAGTGATGCTAAATAATATAAACCTCCCTTTCATATGTTGTCTAATTTTGGGGAAACATATTTTCACCTGTTTACCCAAGTTCAACAAGTTAGCCATCTGCTCTATTCTTACATTACCTACCTGCTTTCGTTAATTTTTTCTAAATTTTCCTCTTTTTTTTTAAATTTTTTAAAAGATTTTATTTATTTACTTGACAGAGAGAGACACAGCAAGAGAGGGAACACAAGCAGGGGAAGTGGGAGAGGGAGAAGCAGGCTCCCCGCTGAGCAGGGAGCCCGATGCGGGACTTGATCCCAGGACCTGGGACCATGACCTGAGCCGAAGGCAGACGCTTAACGACTGAGCCACCAGGCGCCCTAAATTTTCCTCTTTTC